CGAGGTGGCTGGGTGCATGTCCCCCTTCCAGGCGCGCACGTGGACTCAGCGCCTGAAAGAAACTCCTGCCCCCCCCCCCCCCCCCCGCCACCACCACCCTGCCAATCCAACCAGACATCTGAACGCTCGAGGGGCCAGCTTCCAACCTGCAGCAACGACCCGGGGCGCCTGCAAAGCTCGGGGCACGCTTCCAAGCTTCCGGAAGCGTGCCGCGTTACTGCGGCTCATGCATATGCTGGGCGTTTCATAGAAAATGCTAGTGGCAAGAATGAAACCTCTCATGTGAACAATGCATGGCACGAGCCCGTCAAACATCCCCCCCACTCTCTGCGCGCGACCCTTTTCCTGCGCGCGCCTCTGCGAGGAGCTGAACTGGCCTGTGACTGCGAATTGGATAGCCGCTCGCCTCCCTCGTTGTTGTGGGCTCGGTCGCCCTCTCGCTGCCAGCGTGACCTGGGGCGAGCTGAATTGGCGAAGAGCTTCGTGGAAGACTGAAGCGCCGTGGCGCCCCACTGCGCCAGGCCTTGCTTCCCGACGTGTGTCTCGGTGACGCCGATGATGCGGCTCCAAGCTCTGTCGCCCGCGCTCGTGGCGCTGGCGATGAAGAAGCGGCAGATGCCGTTGTCCTGTCCAATGCTCTGGGCACTGGCCCCCCCAACTGGCTGATGCGCCGCGGCCGCGTCGGCGCGTCGGCACTGCCCGTCGATAATCATTATGCAATGGCGGGAGCGCCCTGCGACGGGCTGCCAGCTCCCGCTTCTGTGGGAGGTGACGGCGACTTGCTGGCGGCATTCCCCTTGCCGACTGCCTTCGCCATCGCCGCTGCAGCTGCTGCGAACTTGGCCCTTGAAATATTCTCGGCCTCGGGCTGGAGCTCCGTATCGTCCTGCACTGAAGCTGCTGGGGCTACTCGTGGCGCTGGTGCTGCTGGCTGCGCCTTGGGGCCAGCTGCCGCGCCCGCGGCGGGAGCTAAAGCCTGACGTGCGTCTGGGCTGCCGCCTGCGACCCCAGCGCCATCCTCGGTCTTCCTCGTCTTCTGCATGCGGTCGCGCACCTCGCGCTCGGTAGCTGCGACCTGCTGCAGCAACTCTTTCAGCTCGGCACCCTTCATTTCGAAACTCTTCTCCCAAATCTCCAACTCTTGCTCCAGCGCCCGTAGGCCTTCCTGGTCAGCATCGTCATCGTCCCATTCTTCGAAATGGTCGAAAAGCGCACTGCTCATCTAGATGCTCATCGTGGGCTGCGACGACGTCGACGAAGGATCCCCCTTCGACGCGTCCTGATCTGGTCCACGAACTCCCTCTGCGGGGGCAAGAGCGGCGGCCGCATCCTCATTGGCGCGCTCTGCCTTCGCAGGCTCCCAGGCCGCCGTGCGCTCCTTTCCCTCAGCTGTATGCAACTGGGCGCGGAGCCTCAGCACCTGCGTCGCCAGCTGCTCATGCCTGTGACTGGCCGCGCGACATGCGCCGTCAGCCCGCTTGACTGCCTCCGCCGCCGACGCGCTGGACGCGGCTGGGAGGGCTGCGAAGTGAGTGCGCTGCGCCTCCACCGCGCTCTTCAGCTCGGGGTCCTGCGCTGTGTCCGCGGCCTGCGGCAGCAACTGGTCCAGCTGCTTGACGTCGGTGGCGGAGCCGTTGAACCCCCGAGCCCGCGGGCTGCGGCCGCGGCGGGAGCTCCGCGACTGGCGGCTGCCCTGGCTGCTGGCCTCCCAGTCAGACCCCTCATCGTCCTCGAAGCGGACTCGGCGGGGTTCTCGTGGTTGGAAGAGCTTATTGAACTTGCAGTCACAATTCTGGCACTTCATCTGATGCTGCTTGATCATATCATTGTACTCGCATGACTGGCAATTGCCGCAGCGTGTCCACGGTCTGGACTGCTGCCGCGACGGCGCCGTCCCTGTTTTCGTGGATACCCGTGAAAAGATGTGTGGTAGACACGGGTAAAAGTACTCAAACACCACGGTAGTGTACAGGGATGGGGCAATGAGGTGGGTGCCTCTGGATACTTCTGAAGTCCTAAACGCACCGAAGGCCCCCCAGGGCCTGCCCTCCAGCCAACATGGCTTGCGGGACGAGGAGGAGGAGGAGGAGGAGGAGGAGGAGGAGGAGGAGGAGGAGGAGAAGAAGGAGGAGGAGGGGGGGGGAGGGGGAGGGGGAGGAGGAAGATGAGGAGGAGGAGGAAGAAGAGGAGGAGGAGGAGGAGGAAAAGGAGGCGGGGGAGAAGGCGAAGGAGGAGGAGGAGGAGGAAGAGGAAAAGGAGAGAGGAAGAGGAGAGGAGGAGGAGGAGGAGGAGGAGGGGAGGAGGAGGGGAGGAGGTGGAGGGGGAGGAAGAGGAGAAGAAGGAGAGAGGAGGAGCAGGAAAACTGAGGCAGCGTCTGAGGAGGAGAAAGAGGAGGAGGAGGAGGCGGAGAAGGAGGAGGAGGAGGACTCGGGGGAGGAGGAGGGGAGAAGGAGGAAAGGGAGGAAGCGGAGGAGGAGGTGGAGGAGGAGGCGGAGGAGGAGGCGGAGGAGGCGGCGGAGGAGGGGGGACGCTGACCTGGAGACCGACGCCTCGCAACGATCGAGGCGACTGGCTTGTGGCCATGGTTGGCCTGGCCTCTGAAGGGGGGGACGGTGGGGGCACTTGTCGTCTCATACGCTAAGACGAAGCGGGCACCAAGATATCATCCGGTAGGGATAAATCGAGAATCTCTGAGACCTGGCGGCTCTGGAAGATGTCTGCGCCGCGGGAGCTTTCCGGAACACTCTGAGAGCGTTCCGGAACGCTCTGGAACGGATTGATCCTCGTCCTAGCCCCGTCCGACACGCCGTGGGACATTTCTTTGGGGATGGGGGGCGGTTTGTCCGCTCTTGTCCTCGCTTGCATCTGCATGGCCATGCCGACACATCGCTCCCCACACAGCATTCCGTGGCCGCAGCCGTCTAGGGGCGAGACGCGTCTTCTTTGAACAAGCCCCGGGCGTTTGGGGGGGGAAGAGGGAGGGAGGGAGGGAGAGGGGGGGATGGATCGACTCGGCAAGATGAAGGCGCCATGCTCGGCAGCGCCAGGAAGCGTGGTCTTAGCGCTCAAACGCTGTCTTGGTAACATTTACATCCCGCCCTGCCCCGCTGCCAACAAAAACACCGCAGCCCAAACCATCCACCCTGGCTGGGGGCTCAAGATGTGATCCCTTTTTCCAAGTCAGTGGCGAAGCTTCCCTCCCAGGGAGGCGGTGGGATGGAGGAGTCAGGGCGGATCGCGAGGGGGAGGAGGACGACGAGGAGTACGGGGAGAAAGTCCAGGGTTCGCCAGGGACTGGTTTCCTCCCAAAACAACTGAAACCCTCCCGAAACCTTCCGAAAACCCTCCTGAAAGGTTCTGGGAGGCTTCTCGGAGGGTTCAGGAAGGGTTTGGGAGGGCTTGTCGTTTTTTTTTGGGGGGGAAACCAGTTCCCAGCGAACCAAGGCTTCCTAACGAAACCGCGCCCTCCGCTGGGCAGGGTGGGCCATCAGGCCCCCCTCGGCGATGCATGGGCCATCGAGGCTCCCCCCCCTTCCAGCCCCCCTTGCCTGCTCCACCCCCTCCCACCCTCAGGTCGAGCATGTCCTCCTGCAAACGGATTTTGGGCTAAAAACTAGAAGCAGTCAAGAATGACCAAAAGTAATCGAAGCATCATAGAAAAATCGTCCCCAGGCTGTTTTTTTTTAACTACTTTTGAATGTTCCTCCCGTGGAGGGACACGCCCGATTTGCCCCTTGTCCCAGAGAGGGCAGCACCTCCGGCGCCCTGGAGCGAGCCACCTCGGCGCCCGACCAGGCCGCCGTGGCCCACCCAGACCACCGACGGCGAGCCACAGATCTTGGGGCTTCCTGGGCGTCTCGCACACCTGGTGCGTGGCGAGGGAGGAGGAGAAGGAGGAGGAGGGGGAGGCGGAGGAGGAGGAGGAGGGGAAGGAGGAGGAGGAGGAGGAGGAGGAGGCAGAGGAGAAGGAGGAGGAGGAGGAGGAGGAGGAAGAGGAGGAGGAGGAGTGGCAGGAGGAGCTCCGGGACCCACGCCGCGAAAGAAGGCGGCGACTCGGGGAGTCCAGGGGAGCAGCGGGACGACCGCGGGTTAGCGGGCGGAGAGCGGTACGAACTGCACTCTTCCGCGATGGGCGGCGCCTGTCCCGGGACAGCTGGACATCTCCACCACCCCCCACCCCCTCACCTGCCACCGTCGGGGTATGAACTTCCCAGCCGCGCTGGAACAGGTGCCCCCCCCCCCGATGTCGGAAAAGTTTACCTTTCCTACCGTTCTTCGTCCGCTGCTGGAAGGTGGTCTGGGATGGGGGCGGACAGCGGGGCACCGATCGACGAGAGCAAGGCGGGGAGAGGAGATCGGTCGACTTTCTGTGGCTGCTCGGCTCGGAGGCGGCGGGGGGCAGGGGGGGGAGCTCGAGCGGTGCTCGTCTTCCTCCTCCTCCTCCTCCTCCTCCTCCTCCTCCTCCTCCTCCTCCTCCTCTCCTCCTCCATCCTGCTCCATCCTCCTCCATCCTCCGTCCTCCATCTCCTCCTCTCCTCCTCTCCTCCTCCTCCTCTCCTCCTCTCCTCCTCTTCCTCCTCCTCCTCCTCCTCCTCCTCCTCCTCCTCCTCCTCCTCCTCCTCCTCCTCCCCCTCCTCCATCCTCCTCCTCCTCCGCCGGGCGGTGCCAACCAAGACGAGGCAGCTGGCCTTGATGAAGCACTCGGCTCCATGCTGCCCTCGACAGTTCGGTGCCCCGTGTGCCCATGCTCGTCTTCACCCTGCGGGGGGAGGGGCAGAGCCAAAACACCTGGCCATCCATGTGTCGCCATTTGGGGCACTCTGGGGCCAAGTTGGGGCCCCGCGGGGATCACAGCAGAAACAGTTCAGGACGAAAAGCCGGCCCTGGGCAAGGGGTCGGGAACCCCGGGGGCCGAGGCCTTGCAAACATTGAGCCTGCAGATACCTGGGCAGGAGGAGGGGGATGGTGACGTGGATGGGCAAGTGAGACGCACGTATCTCCTCGGCCGACGAGAGGACGTAGAAGCGGAAGGAAGACCTGCCAGCAGGCGTCCGCGGCTGCGGGATGACGTGCGACTTGAACCACTCGACCTTAGCATCAGGCGTGCCCAGCGTCCAAGGTCTCAAGTAATCGACTCCGCGCTTTGAAGCGCCTGCATGCCATCCCATCTTGTTCGTACGCGTGTGGTCTGAAGCTTCTCAAACGGCGTGGTGCCGACAATGTGTTTGACACATTGTGGTCGTAGGAACAGCCACCGCCGTTTACTGCACCATATCAAACGACGCACTGCCATGACCAGACCACACTGGCAGGGGGAGGCTGCGACATAGATGTCCAGAGTCGCTGGTTCTGTAAAGACCGTCCAAAGTCTCCCCATCGTATCCGCTCGATGCCCCAGCGGGAGGAGACACACACATGCCCTGCCTGGCTCATTCTTTGCCCAACAATACAATGCGAAGTCCGTCACCGCCCTGTTCTCTCATGTTTGTTGGTCTTTCTCTTGCTCTCTCTCTCTCTCTCTCTCTCTCTTCTATGAATACGCCGACCCTTTCGGCGTGTGGAAGAGGCTGCTCCGTTTAACTCGTCGTCGCCGTCGTCGTCGTCGCCTTTTCCGCTCTCCTTCCCTTTCCCTAGGCCCGTCGCCGCTCCCCCTACTTTCACCGGGCCCTCTTCCTCGAGCGCGCCAGCCACAGCGAAATTGAGCAACGTTGTAATTGAGTCGAAAGAAGCCCCTCCCCTTTGATCCCTTCCCCGCGGGGGGGGTTGTCCAGGGGGGGTCCTGGGGAGGGGTCCCCGGGGGGGGGTCCCAAGGGGGTGTCCCGGGGGGGGGTCGCCACCCAGATACGACTCCCCCCCGGGCGGTTCGGGGGCCCAGAAAAGCGCCAAGACGTGGCAAACGTGCCCCAATATGCCCCCAATAAGGTCCTCAAGGGCCCCGAATAGCCGAAGTATCGGTCCAAGTCGCCGTAGTAGTCTCCAGCAGACGGCTCAAAAGGTTTCCCAAACGCCCCAAGAGGCATCCAGGAGGACTTCCAAGATGGCCTGGGGCAAACATCATAGATATCCCGTAGGTTTTTTTTTGTTAAGTTCGGCATTCTCGCCTTGTCCGCTTCCCGACGCTCCAAGACAGGCCAAGAGGCCCCGCATACCGCCCCAAGATGGCCCAAGAGGCCTCCAAGAGGGCCCTAAAACGACGCAAGAGGGCCCCAAGACCGCCCACGAGGCCTCCAAGACGGCAGAAGGGGCCCCCAAGACGGCTCCAAATGGGAGCCCAGACTGGGGGCCCGAAATGTTATTGCGAGCCCTCGACCTGGGAAGCTCCCAGGAGGCCCCCAGAGGCCCCTGAAGAGGCCCCCCCAGAGGCCCCAAGAGGCCCCCAAGAGACCCCCAGGAAGCCCCAATTCGAGAGGCCACCACGAGGCTTCCAAGCGGCCCCCAAGAGCCTCCCAAGAGGCCCCAAAACTATCCCCAAGAGGTCCCCAAGAGCGCTCGTCGTCGTCGTCGTCCTCGTCGTCGTCCTCGTCGTCGTCCTCGTCGTCGTCGTCGCCATTCAGGGCCGGCGGCACTGGCCGTAAGGCCTCCGCAATAATTATCTCGCACTGTATCTGCATGTGTATACACAGAGCCATCCTTAGTCTCTCTCCGTCTCCTCTCTCTCTGTCTCTCTTTCTCTCTCTCTCTCTTCGTTTTGTTGTTTTTTTGTTTTCTCTCTCTCTCTCTCTCTTTCTCCCTTTCACTCTGAATATGTCATACTATGTGATATGACGTTCTGGCGTGGGTGCATCAAAGATTAATGTCCCCACTGGACAATCATAAACATTCCATGAATTGGCTGATGTGGGGGTTGACCCGTAATTGAAAAAGCTGGTCACCCCCGCGAGATCGGAACCTGTGTGGAAATGGGTGCATCCGCGTTCTCGCCGCTTTTCCAAACTTGCTGCATGGCGGTCCTAAGCATCGCACGTACTGCCGGTAGTCTTGCAGGCTGTCGAAGTGCAGCTCTACAAGGCGCCAGAAGCTGGTGGCTGGGTCGACACCCACCTCTAAGCCAGAAGACAAGATGGGCTTCTCCTGTGGCGCCAGCTGGTATGCGTGCGGTACTGCGGAGATTGTTCGCTGCGCTCTCCACCCTTGGCGACTTTCGCTACCAACCTGACAGCTCGAGATGCGCCGCACCAAACTATCTGTTTTCATCCGAAATCGTTTCTGCTCGCTCTGGCTTCTGATCCTGCTATCCCTCTTGCTGCAAACTATCGCCCTGCTGCAAGTATTTGTCCTCATCCTGCCACGCTGCCACTCCTATGCCTCACACCTCCCATTATCCAACGTGTCAACGAATCGTTTGGCTTGGGACTTTATACATGTCCAACGTCTCAGAACTATCCGAACATGCACATACCGAACCAGTATCTGTGAATACTCTGTTACATGTGCACTCAAGTGCGTATGAACATGCATATGCACACATGTGCGACAGCTGGCCATCATCGCTTTCGCCATGACGGCGCCAAGATGCTCCAACGTGTTCCAACTGCTGCACGGAGCATGGCGCAACTGGTTGTACAATCAGGCTTTACCCAAGGCGCCGCGGACAAATTATCTTGACGTGTCTGACAGCTGCGGGGAAAGAGAACAGACCCAATTTCGACCTACTGTACACACGCAAGCTGTGTGTAATCCGGGCAGCACGTTCATGCTGCACAGCTTGACTCCGCAAACAATTGCACTGCGATTTCCTTATCCCGGTTGTAAATTCAGCGCTTGGCTGTATGTGGCCCTTTTTGCCAGTGATCGCTTGGCTTCCTATGGCTTCTGTATAGCTTCCCTCACTGGCCCTGTCCGCCGCTCCTTCTCTGGTGGGTTCCACACACGTGGGGGTGCACCCGCTAAGGATCCACGCAGCTGCGACAGAGGGGTCCGAACCCTCTGTGGTTCTACACGCAGGGTTCACCACATAAGGTTCCTGGCTGGTTGTTGCACGAGCCTGCTGCTAGGGCCCGCGCGCTGGCATGATATCTGTTTTGCACCACTAAAGCGTTCTCGCACTTGCGCCGTGGGCGCACCTCTTTTTTCTTTTGGGGGGGGGAACAATACAAAACATAACATAAAACAGCGATCGAAGGCCGAATACTGGTTCCGTATCAGGGCACCTTGTGATTTGGCGCACTCTGCTGAATCACTGTGGCATGGGTACCCTTTCAGACTGCAGAGGCCCACCCTCCCGGGGACGCGTCCTGCAGCAAGGCCCCCCCCCGGGGTAGGACCCTCGCAGCCGCCGCTGGTGGCGCGCACGAGGGCACGGCGCGAGGGGGCGCGGCCTGCGAAGAGGGCGGCGAGCTCCTTGGAAGGCAGGGGCCTTCTCAGAAAGGCCCGGGAGCTTCCAGGGAGGGGTTCTCCGAAGCCAGGAGCGCCTCTGGGAAGGCCCCCGCCCTCCTGAAAAGCGCCCCCGCCTTCTTCTTGGCAGGCCGCCCCCCTCGCGCTACTACCTTACCTCGTGCGCGCCGCCAACGTCACGGGGCCCCCTTCGGGCCTCCCGGGCCACCTCACGAGCGTGTGGCGGGCATGTGCAGCAGTCCCCTTTCCAGCGGGCGCTCGCCGCAGTGAGTTGGCAGCCTTTCTCGCCAGGCATGGGACAATCGGGGCTGAGGCTGTACAGGATGGTGCGCTGCAGCATCAGCGGTGGTGTGCTCTGGACCACCTCCGCAGTCATCCTCACGAGGCGTTCCCCTCGAACTGATCATGTGCTGTTCCTCCTTCTCCTTCCCCCGCCTCCTCCGAACCCCCCAACAGCCTGACATAACATGGAGGCTGACCTCTACGCCCTCACTCGCTTTCCCCACGGGCGACCTCGCCCGGAAGCTTTCGCCTTGCCCTCCTCCTCCTCCTCCTCCTCCTCCTCCTCCTCTTTCTTCCCATCCTCCTCTCTCCTCCTCCTTCTCCTCCTCCTCCTCATCCTCCTCCTTCTCCTCCTCCCCCTGCTCCTCCTCCTCCTCCTCCGTCTTCCCATCCTTCTCCTGCCTCCCCTGTCGACTCCCGCCTGCCGCTCGGGACACGGCTGCCCAGGGGTGCAGATGCGGGGGGCCACGCTCGCCCTCCCTTTTCTCTCCCTCGCTCTCGCTCTCTCTCCCTCCCCCCCTCCCTCTTCCTCGCTTTCTCCTTCTTTCTCGCACTCCCGTTGTCCTCTCTCCCGTGGCGAGTCAACGTACACGGCGGTATCGACATGTTTTCATACATCCGTGTGCATACACGTGTGTGTGTGTGTGTGTGTGTGAAGAGTCAGCCACCGTGCAAGGAGTGGGGGTGTTAGAATACGTTGTGCTGTCTGGTAAAAAGTTGTGTAAAGTTTTAGGGCCCCCCTTCGTCGCGCGGGCCCCTAAAACGCCAATCTTGTTGAACGTGTGTTCTGGCGGTTGCGTCGGCCTCTAGACGGCCAAGATGGCCTCCAAGACGGCTTCCAAGACAACCAAGACAATACCAAAACGGCTCAGGGTGGACCAAGAGCTGAAGAGCCTCTCAAAGTGCCTCGAGGCGGCTCAAGATAGCCCAAGAGGGCCTCACGCCGGCCCAAGAGGCCCCCTAAGACTGTCCGACCACCCAAGACGGCCCGAGAGGGCCTCAAGTCGACTCAAGACGACCCAGCGATCGCCCAAGAGGCTCCCAAAGTGGGCCCCAGATGGCCTTGAGGCGCTCCAAAAGAGCAACAGCACGGCCCAAAGAAACCTCTGGGGCTGTCCTGGGCGGTCGGAAACCCAACCATGCCATAATCTCAAACTCTGTCAAACACCTAAGGGCAACCAATAGTTTGGGCATCCCCGGGCTCTCCCTCTTGGAAGCCTCTTGGGCCGTCTTGGGGGCCTCTTGATCTGGCGTGGGGCCTTGTTGGGGGCCTTTCGGCCTCCAGGACGGCTTTCAAGGCAGCCAAGACGACGCCAAGATGGCCCAAGACGGCTCAAGAGGCTCCCAGGACAGCCTCAAGGCAAGCTGAGAAGCCCCCAACACGGGCCAAGAGGTCTCCAAAAGGCCCTCCTGGAGAGCCCGAGGGCGCCCAAGCCATCGATGTCCCTCAAAAGTTTGAAAAGGCTTTGAGATTCTCACCCGTTCGGGCTTCCGGCCGCCCAAGACGGCCCAAGGGGCCTCTAAGAGGCCTCCAAGGTAGCTCCAAGGCAGCCCAAGAGGCCCCCAAGAGGGCCCGAAGTCGGACCAAGAGGACCCAAAGATCGCCAAACATGCTCACAAGAGGGCCGCAAGACGGCCGTGAACCGCTCCAAGAGGGTACAAACGCGCATTAAGAGGACCCCAAGGCGACCTCCATAGGCGTCAGCTGGGCCAGAAGTTCCCGAAGACGGCCCGAGAGGCTTAAGAGGCCCTCAAGAGGTTATATGAGCCCACCAATAAGCTGGCAGGAAGCTCCCAGGAGGCCCCCAGGAAGACCCAAGAAGGCCCCAAGAAGCCTTATCCTCCTCCTCCTCCTCCTTCTCCTCCTCCTCCTCATTGTCTCCCTCTCCTCCTTCTCCTCCTCCATACCGCGCGGACGAAGACGAGGTCGGGATCACGAGACGCCCCAAGGCAGTCTACTCGTCGGAATTGCGCTGTTCCTACACTCAGCCTCCTTCCTGCAGAGCTGTTGCACAAGCACGGTGGCGGGGTTTGCCGCAGGCAGCTGGGTGTATGTGTGTGTGTATATGTATATATACTCTGCCCGTTACCGTGCTCATTCCGTGCTGCGAGCGGGCAACTATGTGAATCTTCTTTGGGACCATTTTCAAAACGTCCTGGGGGCCTGCTGAGCCGTCTTGGGCCCCTCTGGGCCGGCATAGGGGGTCTCTTGGATTCGTCTTCGTGCGGTCTGGAGGCACTGTAGGGCTGGGCTCTCTGGAGCTCTTGGGGCGCCTGGGGCCCTCTTGGGATGTCTTGGGCCCTTTTTTCAGGCGCCTCTGGGTGCCCGCCTGGGCGAATTTTGGACCATCTTGTGGCGATCTTGGGAGCCTCTGGGGCCGACTTGGTCTTTGCGTGTCGAGAAGGCGAGCATGCCAAAATCGCACAACAAGTTCAAGGGACGTCAATACGTCAACGACTCGTGCCTCTTGAGGGCCTCTGGGGGGTCCCCTTCAGGGCCTCTTGGCCCGTCTTGGGAGCCACTTGGGCCGTTTTGCGGACATCTTGAATCCATCTTGGGGGCCTGTTGGGCCTTATTGGCCGTCTTGCGGATATCGTCTTGGCCCCTTGTGGTCTTTTTGGGCCGTATTGGTACCACATCGGGCCGTCTGGTGCCCTCGCGGGGCGTCTCGAAACCAAGATGCCGGACAACACTTTCCCAACCATCCTGTGGTGCCAGGCCGTCCTTTCGACTAAGCACGATCCCGCGTCTCGCTCCTTCCTCCTTCCTGCACCCCTCATCCCTCCTCCCCCTCCTGCCTCTGCCCTCCGCGTGCAAACTCTGGCACACCTCTCAGACGCCTCTCGTGGCACCATAGGGAGCTCCACAAAAGCCCCCCCCGGGGAGTTGTTGCATAGCGTCTCCCCGAAGGGTTTGGCACGCCCCTCACACGTTCCGGGGCCCCAGGGGGAGTTCCACGGAAGCTTCAAGGGGGTGGTGTTGCATAGCGCCCCCCCGCCAATTCCGGCACACCCCTCACACGTTTCGTGGTCCCAGAGGGAGCTCTACCGAAGCCCCCAGGGAGTGATGTTGCATTCCGACCATGACGGCACACCCCTCACCCGCTTCGTCTGCGTGACCTCATAAGGAGGCTCCACTCAAGCCCCAGAAGGGTGGTGTTGCGTAGCGTTCTCCCCATCATGTCGGTACACCCCTCACACGTTTCGTGGCCCTACAAGGGGGCTCCACCGAGATCCCCAGGCGGTGGTGTTGCATTGCATACCCCCGTCAATTTCAGCACACCCTCGCACGACTCGTGGTCCCAAACGGGGGTTTCGCCGAAGCCCCGAGGGGAGGTGTCCGCATAGCGTCCCCCCTAAGAGTTCGGCACACCCCTCACATGTTGCGTAGCTCCACAGGGAGCTCTACCGAAGCCTCCACGTGGTACGACCACATAGCGCCCCTCACACGCGTGACGTGGCCACACAAGGACCTCTACCGAAGCCGCATAGAGTCCCCCGGCAATTTCGGCACACCCGTCACACGTTTCGTGGGCCCATGGGAAGCTCCACCGAAGCCACCACGGGTTGTGGCCGCATAGCCCCGCCCGCCCATTTCGGCGCACCCCTGACACGTTCCATGGCCCCACAGAGAATCCCACCGAAGGCCAAGGTGCCGCAGAGTGCCCCCCCCCGCCCATTTCGGCACACCATTCACACGGTTCTTAGCCCCGCAGGGAGCTCCACTGAAGGCCTCAGCGGCAGGGCATCGTATGCGCCCCCCCCTGCGCTGCGCATTGCCTATGCGGAGAGAGCCGTTTCCTGCCCAACTCGCAGCTGCATGTGGGTTGGGTTCTTCGCCAGTCTCGCTCCACTACGTGCACTAGGATAGGTTGTAACAGTGCAGCTCAAAGTGTGTGTATGTATGTGTATGTGTATGTGTTTGTGCTTGTGTATGTGTTTGTGTGTGTGCGTGTGTGCTTGTGTGTGTGTGCGTGTGTGGAGGTGTGTGTGTCTCTCTCTCTCTCTCTCGACCCTTCCCTCCCACTCCCGACTCCTGTGCTCCAAGTCCCCGCCATCCCCGTCCCGTCCCCTCGCCACCGTCCTACACTGTCCCCCTCCCCTCCCTGCCCTCCCCTCCGTCGCGTATCGTCCCTTCAGTCCCGTCGCTCCCGCCCGCCTCCGCTGGCCCTCCCCCCCGCCCTCTCCCTCCATCCCATCTCCTCCCGTCCACTCCCCTCGCTTTCCCTCTCCCCATCCCTCCTCTCTCCCCATCCCTCGCTTTCCCTCCTCCCTCCGCGTCCTCTCCCCATCTTCATTCCCGTCACTCGTTTTCCCTGTCTCTCTCTCTCTCTCTTTCTCTCTCTCTCTCTCTCCCCCCATCCCCATCCCCATCCCTCCTCTCTCCCCGTCCTCTCCCCTCGCCTTCCCTTCTCTCTCCCTAGCCATCTCGTCCCTTCCCTCCCGTTCGCTCCCGACGATTCCTCACCTACTCCTTCACACCAGAGCCCCCAAGGAAGCCTCCGTGAACCATCCGAAGAACGATGAATTTCCGATTCGTCGGAAAAACATCCAACATCTCCGAAATCGCCGTCGTCGCGGCCGCCGCCGCCGTCGTCGTCGCCGCCGCCGTCGTCGTCGTCGTCGTCGTCGACGTCGTCGTCGTCGACGTCGTCGTCCCCCTCCCCGCCCGCCCTGCCCTCGCCCCAACGGGACGCATGTTCTCGTCTGGCGCAGTGCCACGAGGGGCCTCTGCGAGTGGGCCCCTCCCTCGCCACCGACTTCGGAGGCCAAGGCTGGGAACGACGGCGCTGCACCACGCTGGAGGAGGGGGGGGCGAGAGGTTGGGGAAGGAGCGCGGCTGGGAGGATGAGGAGGATGAGGGGGGGGGGGGAAAGGCCTCTTAGATGGGGTCGGAGTAGATGGGGTCGGGGGATCGCGCCGCATCGCGAATGCATCGCCGATGCATCGCCGATGCATCGGCGATGCATCGGCGATGCCCCAGCGAGGAGGCATCGTCGACGTCGGCGATGCATCGGCGACGTCGACATGAAGCAAATCGGGCTGCAAATCGAGCCGCATCGGCGATGCATCGACGACGCGGTGCGATCCTCCGATCCCATCTACTCCGACCCCATCTAGGAGTCATAGAGGGGAGGAAGAGGAGGGGAGGAACATGAGAGAAAAGGGAGAAGAGGAGGTGGCCGCGTCAAGACGCCAGACGCACACGCGTGACAACAACGAATGCGGCTGCAGCGGCGATGGCCAAAAGAAGGCCGCCCCTCCGTCCGCAAGCACCGTGCTCAGGGTGATGCCGCGCAGAGCAGGGTTCGCTAGGAGGTCGTGGTAGTGCACGGTGTAGAGCCTGGGCGTGCGTCGTGGGGCCAGCTCCCCTCCTCCAGTCCCCGAACCACCACGGCATGCAGAGCGCGCCTGGAAGCCTCTGGCAACTCCCTGGAGCCCCCCCCCTCCGGGTGCTCCCTGGTGCGCCAAGAGGATGCTGGCCGACGGCACACGACCACCGACCCTGGCAGGGCCGATCCTGGGCCCAGGATCGAGGCGCGTGTGCGACCTCCCGGCTTGGTCGGGAGAGCGGCATGCAGGTCGGCGGAGGGTGCTTTCTCGCCTGGTGCACTTGTCGAACCAGCTCTCATCGTGCGATGCTGCCTGGAACTGTGAAGCCAGGCGTGTCGAAGGCAGGCTGTGCATTCGTGTGCCAGCACGGGGCCCCGAGCAGTGGCTTCTGGCACTCTCGATGCGAACCCTACGAGGTGCAACTCATGGAATGCAGCCGAGGTGGTGCAATATACGTGATGCAAACTATCTGGTACAAGATATTGGTGCAAGCTGAGGGGTGCAAGCTACGCGGTGGAAATTATGGAGTGCAGCATCTGTGCTGCAAACTGTCGATGCTGGGGGGGGGCAGAATCGTGTCTACTATGTGATGCACTATGTGTGGTGCAAGCTAAATCTGGGATGCAGTGCATGCGGTGCACACCAGGTCGCGCACTCTATGGGGTGCAAACTCTGTGATGCAATGCATGGTGCAAGCAGTGTGCGCGTGCTGAAACGCGAGCTAGCGCACAGAGCGGGCACAGGCAGGCATTGGGTGAACACCCAAACTGCGAGGCGGGGATTTATCCATATCCACCGCCTGGGAACCGACGTCCTGGTGCCCCAGCGGGCAGTGGATATGGATATATTTTGGCCCCCAGGGGCCCGAATGTGTCCATATCCACCGCCTGCCGAGGCTCCGAATATTGACCCTCCAGGCGGTGGATATGGACAGATTCCCGCCTCGGACAAACGATCCAGCCGGCGCAGCACGGAGCGGGCACGGGCAGGCTCTGGGCAAACGCTCGCAGACCCGGCTCGCACGGAGCAGGCACGAGGCGGGCGGGCACTGGGCAGGCATCGGGCGAAACTCCGACGATCCATCGGATGCGCGGGACAGGTACGAGCCGGGCACGGGCGGGCACCGGGCGAAAACCCAGAAGACCGCCCCAATCCCTCACGATCGAATCCAAGTAAGGGACCCCTGAATGCAAGCGCTGTTTCTGAGCTTTTTCTCCTGTAACCCATGCAGGACAGGTCCTGCAATCTTGCGTGGCGACTAGATGACTGACTTGGCCAGGAACTTACACCTAGTAGACCAACTTGCAGCCGACAAGAAGGTTGGAGGTTGGCTGGACGTCCAGCAGAGGGTCAAGGGAATTCGCGGGATATGTCTAGCTTCGTGGCCTGCTGTCCGGACACTACGAACACCTTGCAACACAGCACGGCACACTACGATACGAGTACACACCACGACACGCCACAACAAACCGCGACACAAAACACGACATCCCACGAACCCGCGACGCTGCGAATCATCACGACTCACGACGCACCACGATACACGACCACACACCACGACCCCCCACGACATACCCTTGCGCCGCTACAACCCACGACACGACGACCCCTCGACACAGTGACACCAAGACACACCCCGACAACAAGTCACACCACCACACTACGGCAACACAAAACATCCCACGACACCACGACACACCAAGACACCAAGACACACCACGGCAAAAACGACACCCCACGACACCGCACGGCACAGTGCGACGCACGTCGACACCCCGCGACACCACGTCACGCCCCCCGACGCACAACGACACGCACGACCCCACGACGCCTCACGGCACCTGGCATGCCCCGCCTGCCAGCAGCAGCAGCAGCAGCAAGAGAAGCTCCCACCATCCAGCCTGAGACCTGGGGAACTCGCACACAGACACTTCGCGTGCACGCCACGCACGACAAGACCGCAATGCCCCCGTGGGGTCGGCCTCGAATTCGCTGGCTCCACGGGCCACGGGCATGCCAGAACCGCCGGTATGATAGCGTTATTTCTTTAAATCGCGCGCGCGCGTGGCGGCCCCTGGGCGTCCCCGGAGAAAAATACCCTGGCAGATCCCCAGCAGTGGTCCCTGGTGATGCACAAGAGCGCCCCCCGCAGGGCCCCAATACGGCCCAATAGGGCCCGTAGAGGATCTCAAGATGGTCCAAAAGGGTTCCGAGACGGCCCTAGAGCGTCCCAATACGCTCAAGAGCTTCTTCACGGTCCTGGGTGGCGCCCAAGATGCCTCAAGAGGGTTTCCAAGAGATCCCCCAATACGGCCCCGAGATACCAAACTCATGGCTTTTTCGCGTGTCAGCGTTAACGCCTCTTGGGCCTCCCAACACTCCAAGACGGCCCAAGAGGCCCCCACGATGGCCCCAGGCGGGGCCCAGAGGCCCCCAAGACGTTCCAAGAGGACCCCGAGACGGCCCCGTGGCCCAGGAAGGGCCCAATCGCGATAGGCCAGAACTGGGGAAAGCCTGGGGATCCCTTTCCCTCCGGACTCTTTTTCTCTTAGTGGCGACGCTTCTTGATACCCCCGAGGCCTCCAGAGGTCCCCATAGGCCCCTGGAGGTCCCCAACGTCTGCGGAGAGCGTGGATGAGGAGGAGGGGGAGGGGGAGGATCATGAGGAGGAGAGGGAGGAAGAGGCGGAGTGGGAGGAGAAGGAGGAAGAGTGTAGATGATGATTATGATGATGATGATGATGATGAGGAGGAGGAGGAGGAGGAGGAGGAGGAGGAGGAAGAGGACCAGAGTAAACCCGCAATATGCGTCAACGATGCTGCAATACGCCCTCGCGTCCGACCTCGCACTGTCAGAGGTCCCTGCAAGCGTTCCTGCTCCACTGCGGGAGCCGTCCCTTGCTTGACAGACGAAGGCCCGTGCGCCTGCCACTCCTGCGACACCCCCTATGCTTAAGTTGGGCGTGTCAGTCTACAGGAGGAATATTCAAACATAGGCAAGAATAGTTTGGGGACGACTTTTAGACACTTTGTTTTATTATTGTTGGAATAGTTTCTGATATCTTTTATTTGTCGCCCAAAATCTGCCTGTAGGGGGACATGCCCGACCTAACCCTATGCAAAGGATCCACATTCAGTCCTTCTAGATCTGAGGTGCAAGCAGGTAGGGCCACGCAGCTCAAGGAAGTGTCCAGCGAGAGCTCCGTCCCGAAAAGGATCTGCCCCCCCCCTCCCCACCTGAAAGGGCGCTGCACAAGTGTCTAAAGTTCTTGCCGCTACACTCGGGGCAAGAACCAATGGAGGCTCCACCTTGAAAACGTGAACCGGTGCCTCCACCCGAGTCGCTGGAGGATTTGTTTGAAGATCAGTGTTCGCGGCGAAAAGACGATAGCCCCAGTTTGAAAAAGGGCCGCCCTCCACACGTGCAAGTGACCGATGTGTTCAAGACGATCGTTCGCGGCGACAAGGCGAGAACCCCACTGTGAAACAAAACCTGATCCCCATCTCTGCAGCAGGTGAAGATTGCCAGAACTCGAACTCGTAAGCTGTTCCGAACAAAAAGGAAACATCCGACGAAACACCTGGCACGCCCGAACGACACGCCTCGTGGTGACCACAAGGAGAAGCTGTCTACACAGAAGAGGGTGCGAGGAGGAGGAGGACACCCTCTGAGACCTGCACGAGGCAAGGGCACTGGGAGTCTGACGCAGAGCCCGGAGCCACTCGTCGTACTCCTGCTCCGTCACGCCCGCCTCGCGGTTGTAGGCCAGCAGCCCCCGCACCCCCGCGGCGCGGCGCGCGTACCTCGAGGGCTGCCCCTGGAACGTGGTGCCGCACTCCTGGGGGAGGGGGCTGCTGCGCGAGGAGGGTCCTGCATACCAGGAAGCTGCAAACACGCGCGGCTGGATTCGCACGTGGACCACGTGGAGGCCACTTGCTGCCCGACCGCGCGCGAGCAGGATCGCCGTGCCTGGCCACACGAGCAGGGCCGAGCGCTGGAACAGACGTGTGGCCACGCGTGTATCCAGCCCTCGCCCAGGCCGCCCAGGCCGGCCACGTCGCGCGTATCCAGCGTCCTGGTGTATAAGTTTGTCTGTGAGCTCGAGGAGCTTACGCTGGCCCCCGGGGAACGTCTGTCGACCACCCCCTGGGCCTCCAGGCAGCGCGGGAGGGCGCACTCCGCACACGAACACGCGCAGGCGAACAAGTTGATCACATGTCTGCAGGCATCAAGACAAGGAAAACCAGAAACAAGATGCGAACGCTCCAGAGACACGCGCTTCCATTTCGACACTGAATTCTCGCAAGGCGCGCCCGTAAACTTTAGAAACCGCCTCTTTGCATCTCTTACGGTCGGGAGCGTGGAGGGCAAATCCTTGTCGTAATGAGGCTCTCGCATGGGTCGTAGGCCCATAAGACGCTCGCCTTTCAAGGGACGTGCCGCATGGGATTTCTGAGGAAGGGGCTTGGGAAGTGAGGGTATATTGCAGCATTTGAAACCATGGTCCTTTCTATTCATCCTCTCTCTCATCCTCCCCTTCCTTCCTTCGCACTCCCCCCACTCCACTCTTTTCCCTTCGCCCCGCCTGCCCTGGTTTCCCGCTGCCGGCAACGCTCAGGGGAGGAAGGGGAAGGGAGGAAAAGGAGGAGGAGGATGAGCAAGCTGACGAGAAGCATGAGGGAGGAAGAGGGGGGCGGGGGGCGGGGGCGGGGCAGGAGGATGTTGATGAGCCGAAGAAAAGAGCAAGAGCCGGGCGACCAGGAAGATCAGAAGGTGGGTGGGCGGGCAGAAAGAACAGACAAGAAGGGCGGAGTAATACCACAACCAGCACGAGGCGGGGAAGGGAGGAGGAAAGGGGATGGAGGGGAGGAGAGAGGAGGGTCCTACCCGGCCCCATTCATGGAGAGCAAATGCCCCCCCTCATTGTGGCAGAAAGTGGGCTGTGCTGCTCTCATGAAACGGGTCGGACTACCGTACAGGTCCATCGACGGCTCGATCAGCTCGGCATATTTCTGGCGCAAGAAATCGGATGCCTCCTTCCCCCGGTTGGTTCTGTCCAAGGTGAAGGCCTACCCGAAACGCGCGGACGACGCAGACGAGCTGACCACCCGGAAGTTGTGTGGAAAAGAGTTGGCAGATGAGTGTGCAGAGCGGTGAGCTCGGATTCATCAGGAGGCCCAGGAGGCCGAATTCGACTCTTCTTCAAGCGCTGCCCGCTGGCGCGCGGTGGCCGGACAGATGGCCAGTGTGCTCGCGCTCTGGCCAGGATTCGAGGAGCTGTTCGGGGACGCGGCCTGGATTTCTGGGGCCAGGAAGGGTCCCAAGCCACTGTGCCCAGGCCAGGCCCACGAGTCACTGCACCGACCTTGCAGACGTGCTGCAGCGGATTTTTGCTGATTTCTGTTAATGCAAAGCCCCGAAACGGCGAGCGAAAAACGAAATGACTTTCACGTGGGTGTATATTAGTCTTCGTTCCTGGCCAAAAGAATCCGAACGAAATTCACTTCGAAATCCGGAACGATATTCTCCAGGACACTCCTGGCCCATCCTACTGTTTTCCGAACGAAATCCGCTCTGCGATGTTGGCGCCATGACACGAGTGTCGCTGGAATGGGACCATGGGCAACGCTTCAGCTGTGTGAAGACTTTTTCGCAACTGCCCAGAAAGAGCGTACCTCGCTGCGCAGCTGACCCCGAGTGGCCCTCGGGACCCCACCCGCGGGACCTGACAGGCCTCACAGGCTCGGGGTGGCCCGCTGTCTCGGGTCGGGCATCGGCCTCGTTCTCTGTCAAAGGTGCAGGGCTTCTTGCTCTGGGACCCCGCGTAAGCCCTTAGGGCCCCGTGGCAAGATCTTCACAACTGCCCAGAGCGGCGGACTCTGGGGGAGGGTACGACTCCGATGCCAAAGGGCCATCACATTAGAAAGCCTTGGCTTAGGCCAGGCATGTCCTCCTATCAGCGGGTTTTGGAATACTTGGGCTTGACATTCCGAGAACAATCAAGGACAATGAAAAGAGTTCGAAAATCGCTACCACGTACTTTGAAGCTATTTTTGAATGCTCCTCCTGTGGAGGGACATGCCCGATTTGAGCCTTGGCCCCTGGTTCCGGGGCCGGCGGAGTGGGAGGTCAAGCTCGCGAAGGCCCGGCTCCCTCTCCTGCCAGCTTGCGCTCTTGTCCTTCTTCCTACTTCATTTCGCCTTATTCGATCTCGTTCGGCATGGGGTGCGGAGGCGGCGCTACAAGGAGAGAGGAAGGAATCGGAATCCGAATCGAGCTCTAGGGGCAGTTCGATCAGCTCGCCCTTGTGAGAAGCCTGGGCCACTCCAAGCGCATCTCTCCAGTTTATAGCTCGAAACTGCTTGCCGATCCGCCCAGAGGACCTGCAAACATATTTACGTGACCACCGTGCAAACGGGAACGCTGCGCGGGCAGTCTGGGGAACCGTCTCGGCATGCCGACGGACCCCCCCGCGCCGCCGCAAACCACAGAGAGAAAGAGAGAGAGAGAGAGAGAGAGAGAGAGAGAGAGAGCTCCCTTGAGTGGCTAGTTCCATCCGCCACCCGTCGCTCCTGGCCCAAGGATTGACCGCGGGCGCTCGAACGCAGCCCCGCATTCCAGGGTCGGGAGATGGCGAGGGCAAGTCGACCAACTCCGCACCTTCGCAAACAAACCTTGAAGATTGAACGCAATGCCCCGCGCGCCTGGCACTATGCTGCTGAGAGCTACTGGATGGGGGGCCGCCGTTACGATCCACGACCGACTCAACGACGAAAGGCTCGACGACCTCGGCGACGCTCATTCGGTCGGTCAACCCCCCCCCCTCTGCCTCCTGACAAGAGGCTGCAGAACGAGACGAGCGGAAGCCGCGCCAAGGTGCCTCAGCGCCGCCCCGCGGCGCGAGAACTGTCCAATCTGCACCCGTTGGATAGCGGTCAAGCGAACGCCACGGTCTGCATGCGCACTAATCTCGTCTTCCCGCCCTTGCCGTTGTTCTTCTTGGATTTGCCGCCCTCGAGCTTCGAGGAGCTCCTGCGCCGCCCTCTTGAGTGGGCCGCGGGGCGCGGACCCGCGCTTGAGAACCCCGCCGTTCATCGCGAGTGATTTGGCCCAGATGCGCTGCAGGGAGTCGTGCTCGGCGCCCATCGCGACGGTGACTTTCGCTAACCTTGGTCTGCCCTCCTTCGGCTTGGCGGGCTTGCATTTGCAGCGCAGCACTTTGCCGAGCGGATCCGCCTGTGGTACCATCGTAGATTCGTCCAAGTTGCTGTGCTCCGCGACGCCCTGCATGAGCCCCGCGAAGACGCGCGCGTAGGGTTGCCCCGGGGCCTCTTGAGCGGCAGGGTCGTTCTTGGCGGTCTTGGCAGCCTCGTAGTAGACGCGACCTTGCCCGAGCATGCGCGTGGCGACAATGCCCTTACCGTCCGCCGTCATAATGTTCCACAGCGCGCCCGTGACCTCCCGGATGTCCGCGGCGTTCACGAGCGACAGCTTCGTGGGTACCACTCGCAACTTCGCGACTGTGCTGACGTCCTCGCCGCCCGGCAGTAGCTCCGAGACCTGCTTCTTGGTGGGCGGCGAGCCCGCTGCGGAGCCGTCGCCTCCGCGTCTCTGACCCCAGCTCGGTGTCGCGAAGATTGACATGCCGACCATGATAATGGTGACGTTCTCGGAGAGCAAGGGCTAGCTCCGCAAGAACCGTGAAGGGGGATGCGTGCGCGTGGAGTTGCTTCTGCAAAAGCTCAAAGGTTTGAGCCCGATGATCACGGATATGGCAATCGACTCCATCGGGATGAAGACGGCCTCCATAAAAACGCGGCCGCTCGATGCACCGGCCACCTCTAGGGCCCCCCAAGAGAAAGTGTCTCTGGGCCTTGACTCAACTGCGGACCATCAAAAAATAAAGGGCATACATTTGTAGTCACGATCCGAGCCCAGATGTCTCTCTGCCCGTGCTTTGCCATGCGATGCTGTGTAACGCCCTTGTGTGTGTGTGTGTCGAAGCAGGCTGTGCGCTCCCCCCCGTCTCCGTCCTGCGCCCGCATCTCCATCCTCCTCCATCCGTAGTTGTGCTAGCTGTTGCTGTTGGTTGCGTCGGCAATGACTCCCTCCTCCATCCTGGCGACAATGTAGCTGATATGTAGACCCCCTTCCGCAACGCCGTGCAATCCTGCATCAAGAACTCATGCTTCGCCTCGCCATCTGTAAAGATCTGCGCCCATCCCCATCGCATGCGCGCCCCCGAATATCCGCCTTCGTCATCAAGGCCGCTTACGCCCTCAATCGCGTCTGAAACGAACCAGCGTGCCCATGGCTTCGACTGAGACAAAATGTCGCCATCGCACAAGGTCGGCGTCTCTTCAAAAAGGGAGTGCCCGAACAAGGAGGTGGGGACATGGCAATTTCTCCAGTGGTGAGCGACAGCCGTCTGCACCCTCCGCAAGCGCCGCACCCGCGTCTGGCGGCTCGCGGGGGCCATGCGCCAGTGCTCTAGGACTTGCGCCGTGCATGAAGACCTATGTTTGGTGCCGATGGCTGTTTCCATCTGTTCATGGGCGGCGCCTCTCATTGCTCGCCGTCCGTATTTAGCTACAATCTGATCTAGCTCATGTGCTGTTGCTGAGAGCATACGTAGGCTTCATTAGAATGTAGGGCGGTATGCTGTACAAAGCAAATGAAAAGAGTTCGTTCGACTCGCCTGGGCGTTCGTTTTAGTGGCCAGAAGGTCCCAGGGGAATAGTGGGCCGCGGCCGCCTTTCGGTGACTGAATTCAACGGCTTAGCTGCCATTGGGCCCGACACGCCCCCCCCCAGACATCTAGCGCGCGTGCAATGCGGGGCTGGGAAGGGGACTCATTGCACGCGGAGATCTGGCGCATGGGCTTCCGACCCCGCCCCGGACAGAACAGGTGCAACTTCCTGCGTGCCCGCGCTCTGCAGGCGCCCCACCTCGGCGAGGGCCCGGCCCAAGTGAAAGTTTGCCCGCTCGCGTGGATGCGAGCTCCATTGCTCCATCGATCCCTGGTGAGGCACCGCAAGTAAGGCAATTTAATGCGCTGTCAGCGTGGAAACTCAGCGAGACATCCACGGCGCGGCCCAGGAATGGGGGCCGCGCGACAAGCCCCTCCGCCGTCGACCCCCCAAGACTCCAACTTCCTTCCCCAATTCTGGATGGCCGTTTGAAATGCTTGAACACATTGCATCGCCATGCCCCCCATCAGGCCCCCGCCGCCTGGTTTCATGAAGCGGGCCCCCTCCTGGCGCTGAAGGCAGACTGCGGCTTCCTCGAATCGCCGGCGTCCAGGGCGCGCGAGTCTATCCTCCATCAGCGCCGCGGCAGCGGCACGCATGTCCGCCCACTTCGCACTGGCAAGCGCATTGGTGAGGTCGTGCAAGTGGACGAGGCCGAAACGGCCAGCGCGGCGGATGGGCCACATTATGATGGGCGAATTGGCGATGTCATTCTCTTTCCACCGATGCGGGAGAATGCCCGGCGCTGGGGGGGGGGGGGGGGGATCTCAGGGGTTTCAGTGTGAGTGGAAAACCAGCCCGTGCCGACGGATGAAAGCGGTGGGCGGTTCGTAACCCTGACGCCGTGCCCCCGAAGCTGGCGCCGTCTGTTTCCTGGGCCCAAGAGATTTCTTGGCTCGAGTGCCAAAAGACTGGAGCTCGCAAATTAGCGCGAATGCGCAAACATGCGTCTTCCAAATGCGACCGACAAATCGGAGCCGACAAAACGGGTTCTTCGGCGCCGTCCCCGACTGCGAAGCGAGGCCTCCGTCGGTGGGAACAGCGCAATCGCCAAAAGCTCAACGGGGGCAGCCCAGCTCGGGACAACCTTCCTCTCGGGGGCCCGCAAGGCCCAGCGCTCGAGTTTTGCCGCGTCGGCCTTAGCTTTCTTACTTTGGCTCACATGGAAGCGAGAAACATAATCAGGCGTCATATCTTCGCCCACTCGCGCGCGTGCGCGCCAAATCCAGGACGACGCCAGGGTCGCCTGCATCCCGCCCTCGCAGACCGGCTGCGAAAAGGTGATCGGTCCATTCCTGAATCGAAGGAGGTGCCGCCGGAACTGCCAGAAAGAGGCGCCATGTGGTTCCGCACTTGCTCCCCGCTGCACGTCTCGCCAGCCTATAGCCGTCGCGCAGTTTTCGTTGTCTCCACTGCTCCCACATATCATTGATCGTCTCTTCCTGGAATGCCCGCCATTCGAAAACCCGTTCGCGACGCATCTGACGTGGCAGCTGGCGGAGCTCAGTAGAGACACGGGCCTCCTCCGAAACAACGAGATCAATATATGGGTTGGCGTCGGCCTCTCTAGTAGTGTCGGGTCCCGCCGAACTGGGTGCCATTCGTAGTTCCTGCCGGCGGCGGAGTAGCTCGCGTCGATGGGCTTGCATCGCGGCGCGTCGTGGGTCGGTCACCTGACCTTCCAAGAAGTAATCCCTTGCGGCCTCCATCATGACACCCTCCAATTGCGCCCGCAGTGCATCAGGTAGAGTTCGCGTAGTGAGGTCCCGCATTAGGTCCTCATCTGCTGCACTCGTTCTTCCACCGCCAATATGTAATCATCCCGCTCTGGTGCTCCGTGGAATACCTCCATCAAGTTGTTGCGGTCCCATCTGGTTCGGGTCCAGATGGCGCGCTTTGGCCGGGACCATGCCAGGTGCTGAAATTGCACATGAAAGAACTGGTGGTCCCTCTTAGCTTTGGTCGGAATGATTTGCAGGCGTCTTGATAACTGACTCAAGCTTCCAACACTTTTGGAAGGCAGAGAAGCCGGTAAACACATACAATCAATGAGGCTGTCCGCATCTCCCGTGCCGTACAAGTGGATTGTCCATGCTGCGCCGTCACCGCCGTGAAGTAATGAGCCTCCAGCAGTTCTCGCATCAACTGTCCAGCCAAGTGCTCGGTGCGCACACCAGCCGCAGTAATGGCCTCGGTCTCGAATCGGTGTGAAGCTGGCGGCGGTGACACTCCCATGCCACCGTTAAGATCCACACAAAGAATGGGCACTGATCTGCCGGCGTCTTGGCCAATATTCCAGCCATCCAGTCCATGAGGGCTCGGACTGAACGGTCGTACTGCTTGCCCTCCTGCTTAGTCTTCACTCTCGGCGGGGAGTGGACTCCGAAGAACGTAAAATCGTACACCGAGGAAGAGATGATCCGCGCCCTGCCAGATCAGCACCTGGAGCACCCACTCGTCGAAGGTGTCGCTGGTTGATCTTCCGCCAGGACGTCATCGTAATCCCCGCCGCACGGTTGGTAAATTGTCCTGCCTTCCATCCAGTTTCTATTTGCCTTCGTCGTTCAAGCCTCCGTTGCTGCACTTGCACATCTGCGCGCAATCCTGTGCCCACCAATGTCACACAATCGAAGCACAAACTAGGTTGATGTCCTCCTGGCGATCGCGTCTGGATGCTGAGAGACGGTCGAAATGTCCGCACCGCCACACGTGTGGCAGCAGCGCGGGTTGGCTTTCTTCTTCCCCCATCGGTCTCGAACATTTGTCCAGTTTGAGCTGGAGGCAGGCCCCTGCGGCCATGATGGCCACCGGCAGCCCGTAGGAGAAAACGTGGTGTGCAGTCTGTGCCGCCCCGCCCGCCTGGGAGCCCAAACGGCGGCTAGAGGATGATGGAGGAAGAGGGAGGAAGGACGGAGAAAGGATGATGGAGGAGGGACGGAGCGGAGAGGAGGGGCGAGAAGAGAATCAAAGGGGGAAGGTGCAATAAGAGGGAACAGGAGGCACGATGACAGAAGGCGGTCACCAAAACGTGTTTCCAAATGTCTCTGGAGGATCCCCGGAAGCGCTTGGAAACCCCAATGGTCTCTGGAGGCCCCCAGGGGCTCCCCGAGCCTCGAGAAGAGCCAGAAGCGCTTTAGAACGACGGCGACGACGACGACGACGACGACGACGACGACGACTACGACGACGACGACATGCGGCGGCCACCGCTGCGACGACAGGCGGCGGCGGCGGCGGGCGGCGGGCGGTGGCAAGCGACGGGAAGCGACGACGAGGCGCAGGTGCACGGTTCCCCCGGGGCCGTAGGCGACCCGAGGAGGAGAAGGAGGAGGAAGAGGAGGAGGAGGAGAAAGTGCAGGAGGAGGAGGAGGAGGAAGAGGAGGAGGAAGGGGGGTAGGAGGGGGAGGATGAGGAGGGGCAGGAGGAGGAGGAGGAGGAGGAGGAGGAGGAGGAGGACGAGAAGGAGGAGGAGGAGGGGTCGCCAAAACCCTTCGGAGAAACCCTCCAAGCGCAGGTCCGTCCGCGCCGCGCCCACGCCGGTCGGGCCCCGCTGCCCCTGCGCCCGGCGGACGCCGCGGCGCTCCATGACGCGCACCACCTCGGCTGCACGGTTTCCCTCGGGGCCGTAGGCGACCCGAGGAGGAGGGGCAGGAGGAGGAGGAGGAGGACGAGGAGGAGGGAGAGGAGGAGGGGGAGGAGGGAGGGGTAGAGAAGGAGGAGGAGGAGGAGGAGGAGGAGGAGGAGGAGGAGGAGGACGGGTCGCCTCAGCACTTCGGACAAACCCTCCAACATCGGGCCGTGCGCTTACTGCCGAGGCTTGTGTAGGCATCCCAACAGAATTCCCCCCAAACGCATGGAACACGTGACGGAACTCCGCATGCCCGTGTCAAGCACGGTGGTGGCCACAGCGGGCAATCGTTTAGAACCTCGCGCGGCCTGATTGGGTCCGAATTGGGAATTGCCGTGCGTGCAGAGGCTCCTGCTTACCAACGTTGACATTTCAGGCGCTGTGCTGGATCGGGCCGTGACTTTTCGTTTGCCCTCTTGACTATCATTATG